CTTCAGAAAATTAGCCAGGTGATTAAGACATCCTTTTAATTACAGCTTTTGACTATAAATATCTGTAATTTGCAGCTGGCAGAAGATCTGCTCAGTTGTGTCTGAGAATAAGTGTCTCTTCTGTTCTTTGCAACTGCTGTTGTGACAAGGACAAAAGACCATTGTTGGGGCTCTTACTTACGCAGTTACTTTCTCCCACAAACAATTTAAGTGCATACTTTCATGTTTTGGTGCCTTTTATAAGTGGCTGCCTTGTATGAAATCGCTGGCCACAGGACCTGTGAGTGGCCGGTCGGGATTCCTGTGTCTTGGGAGATGGGGCACTGAGGAGAACTTGCCCAGGGGCCAGGGTGGAGCTGCCTCTTCTCCTTCGCAGAAGGACTTTCTGCTTCTAGGTGAACTCCTCATCCCAGAGCTTGCTGCTGATCAGGAATCATAGAATCATAGAACGGTTAGGGCTGGAAAGGACCTTAGAAACAGATTGAAACTCCTAGGGCAGAGCAAAGGTTTGAGTGATCCAGGCTCCCAGCGTGGAAAATACTGGCCTGTTTGGTTAGTTTTTCAGTAATTTAAATCACAGAGATGGTCTGTAATGGGAGAGATGACACTAACTGCATCTGACCATCCTAATACATTCCAGATGTTTATCTTCACAAATATTGTCCGCTTGCAGTAGAGCCTTTGTGCACAGGCAGCAAGATGGAAAAAGTGTCTTTGAGTTCCGCAGCTTGCTTTGTACGTGTGTGTCTGTGTCCTGCGTAGCCCCCCTCTGCTGGTGAAATGAACAGCCGGCTGCGTGGTGGGAGAAGGGTGCCAGCCCTTGCAGTGGGACTTCAGTGAGCAGCAGCTTTAATTTGACTTCCCCAAAAGCCAGAAACTCATTTGCCGCTTCAGGAGGAGGTGGTGGTGCTGCCTCCTGCCATGCTGAGTGCTGTAACTGTGACAGTAAGGTGTGTAGGTGCTTCAAACCTGTTTGGCAATAGGAAAAGCGACTGTTTCACGACGGTTTTCCTTCAGAGCCGTGTTTCCCCTTAGAACAGGTCTTTCCCAGGTGGGCCCTGCGGGGACAGCACGCTGCTGCCCTGGGAGGCAGAGGGCCGGTCCCATCCCTGCTCGTTGCCTGTTTGCTCTGGGACCTGCGGGTCATCTCCCGCTATGTTCGTTTTGTCTGTTTTCTAGTTGGCAATCTTCTCAGCAGAGGAAATGCCTTTTACTTCTGTGCAAGATTTGGGCTAAAGTAGCTTTGGGGGAAAAAAAAAAAAAAAGAATTGCAGCTGGTTGAGAAGTCAGTCACTAATCTTTGCTAACCAAATTGTTGCTGAGATACATTTGCCTGAAGAGTATTTTCCTTTATTGAAAATGATGCTGTAGCTTTACATGCAGTGAATTTAAAGCCATGTCAAAACTTCAGTGTGCTGATGCTGGCTGAGCTTTTCCTATTTTAAATGCGCTTGAAGCTGCTTCAAAGCAGCAGCTTTGCTGCTCCAGGGAGAAGTGCTTCACCTCCAGGTACTGTGTACATTTACCAGTGACAGTCAGATCTTCTTTGACCTGTCTCTGCGACACAGTTTGTAAGGGAGAGATCCCCGAGTAAACTGGTGGGATAGCCTTATACCTCCAACGTGCGGCTGTTAGAGACGGTTGGCTTGGGTGCCCCGTTTGGCACAGCCCACGGCTGGAGCTGTGATAGCGTTTCAATTCCGTCGCATAAGGTTTTGTTTCTGTTAGTAGTGGAGTTGAGACTGAAATAAAGGAGGTGAAATTATGACCCTACTGAAGTCATTAAGCGAAGCTGCCCATTGACTGAAGTAAGGTTAGGATCTCAGCCAAGGGTTTTAGTTGTTTAATTTATGGTAACATATTAATTGAGCTGTATTAAAACAAGGTTTTGAAAAAGTTAATCTTTAGCTTCATGATAGCCTTTCCATAAATATTGTACCTAGTGTTTCTAGAAGTTTACCTTTTTTGGGCAGGTTGATAGAGGTAGAAGATTGAAATTTATTTTTATAATTCATGTGTTTTGTACTCCTGGGAAAGAACCGTAGTACGCAGATGTCATTATTTCTGTAACTGAGAAGGACTTTATCCTAAATCTTCTAATTCTTTTAGAGTACGTGGCAGCAGAGCTATCTAACACTGGATCCTGCAGGAAATAGCTGGCATACTTGTAAGCTCCAGGGAGAGGAGCACGAGGATGATAACATCCATTAGTGTTGCTTTTGAATGAGAACTTGCATAAAGACTTTCTCTAAAAAAAACCCCACTATTAGATTTAAGGGCTTTTTAACAAAAGGAATGTATTGCAAGCGTTTGACCTTCCTGTGCTGTATGAAGCTTTACTGGTGTGTGCGCCAGAAAAACCTGCTGATAGCAGACTCTGTGAAAGCTCCGCGCTCCCCTTCTAGAAGTCGACATCTGGGCTGTATTTATGGTACTATTTTCTCTTTGCTGGATATGTCAGAGTAGATTTACCTCCTTTAAAAATTAATAAACTTTGTTTCTGTAATTTGACAGAAAAGATTATTTACTGAGTTTTAAAGGCACAGCTAATAATGCATTCCCAAGCTCTGATGACAATAAGAACAAATTGTATTGTTTTAAAATGTAAATGTATATTTTGCTGCACTTCTTGCTTCTCTTACCTGCTGGAATAGTTTTGCATTAAAGATATTTTAATACACGTCTAGAAACAGGCATGACTGCCTTTATTATTGCTTATAGTCATGAATTATGTTTATGTAAACACTGTAGTAAAGGGGAAACTAGAACCAAAGACTGGGGGAGCAAGAATTGGTGTCTGAGGTCTTTTTTTCTGCTTATCAGTCTTCACATTTCTCTTGCATGTGGTGACTCTGGGCCAGGCAGAAACGGAATTTTTCATTAAGAGTCAAAGTGTGTTGTTCCACTTGCAGCATTCCCAAAGTACACCCGGTTTCTGTGTTGCATATTGATGGTATCTTGGCAAAAAGGAAACCCAGTTATCCATTAGCGAATTCTCAGAGTAATCTGCTTTGTAACCAGCTCTTCAGGTAATACCTTCCAAGTTTTTCCCTGCAATGAGCAAAGCTACCGTAGTCACCTGGAAAGTTTGGAGTAATTGAGTACAGTGATTTCTAATCTTTCACATCCTGTATTATTTTCCAATGGTGTTTGTTGTCTTCTGAGGAAAAATGGAACAGAAATGGTTTTAGACAGAATGAGGTAGCCGCTTCTGAGTGGTAGGTGCCATCAGTGAAAGCCGGTGCCTTAGTTCAGCCTCCCGGATGGCAGGTCACAGTTTGGTAACTGAGGCCGTGATAAACGTCCCACAGCTTGTCTGCAGAATCATTTTGTTCAGTGTTTTCAGTTAAAAGTTTTCTCCCACAAACCTAGGGGCTCTGTCAGGTCAAAGAGACAATCTGTTTCACCCAGACCTTGTACCCAGCCCTAGCAGGCTGCTCTTCTGTGGTGAGTTTGCTAAGCTGCTGGGAGGGAGCTTTTCCAGCCCCCGTTACTTGGTGGCTGGAGCAGTGCGCGTACTCAGCACACATTTAGCAAGCGGTCACCCCTGCTAGTGCCGTGCTCCGGGGGGTTTCCATGATTTAAGAGGACTGGAAGGTAAGAAGAAATAGGATTGGTTTAGAGTCTGTTCTCTTTGAAACTCTGGGGTAATATCCTTTTTGTATATGCAAAGTTAAAATTGCGAGTGCTGTGTTGTCTCATTTTTGCAGATGTTCAGTGTAATGTGAGGATAGGGATGCTGCTAAGCTGCCTTGCTGGTCAAGAGGTGCAGGTACTAAATCCCTAAATAAATGCAGCCTAGCCACAAAGCTGGGGTATGCAGCATGGTGGAGGAAGGTATTCATGAAGACTGAGAAAGAATGTGCTTAAATCCCCCTGGTAAAGCAACATTTCCATTATAAGTATCTCAGCTGAGAAATATGCAAGCACCCAAAATGTGTACTTGTCATTCTTACAAAGTAGTTGCCTTCCAGACTTTAAATTCTGAACAACTGCTGATTGACGGCAGTACTTTCCACGCAAATCCCCGTAATAAGATCCTTTGCAGCTTCACGCGCTTCAGAGCTGCTGGTGGCAGTCACTGGCTCACTCCAAATGGGATCTTTCTCCGGTAGTTCACTGCCATTGAATCATGGCTCAGTGAGACCTGGTAATCCCTTTGATGTGTGGATTTATCTGAAGACCAGACCTAAGTTTGTAAAAAAAGAAAAAGAGCTGTAGTAACATAATTTGTGATGGCTGTGATGTGAACCTGGTCACATTTCCTGCCTAGAATATCCCACATGTAAACCTTGCAATAAATTCTGTCTGAACACATTCTGCTTTAAATCTGCCTCTGTCTTCAAATGAAATGTGCTTTTGGTGTCTTTATTGATCTGCGGATTGTACCACTGTGCGCTAATAAATTCATTTCTTAATAACTTCGTGTAGCCCTGTGGCCATAAATATATTTTAAAACTAGCCAAGAGTCTGAGCAGAGCAAAGGATCTGTTTAAAATATATTTCACTGGACTTTGAAACTGGCTTCTAAAGATACTGAATGCTTCCATCAACTTGGTAATTCTAATAACCAGCTCCTGGAATATAAAATATACTAAAGTGGTGCTAAATATAAAAGTGTGTGTGTGTATATATATAATGATTTTTAAAAAATAATATATAGGTATCTGCACTCTGAAAAATTCTGTCTCTGGCTTTGTGATCGAGGCAGAGGACAAGTCTGTTTCTTGTTACTTAAGGTAACAAAGGAGTTCAGGCATATAGTCAAAAGCTTTTAATCAAACTAATGTTATGCATTATATCAACATCTTAATGCTAAGGAGATCTTTAGGTTGAAGAAAGTATTTTAAACAAATACCTTGTAGTTCCCTGTGACATCTGTGCTTTTGGTTTTAGGTGGTTAGTGAAGGTCTGTTGCATAGTCAAAGCCATAAATGGAATGAAATGAGGTTGCTGTAAACAAAGGATTGATAAGTTGTTGAAAATTAATTTTGAGGAAAATGTCTGAAATGTTTTGCAGAGGTGAATCTGGTGCCGGGAAGACTGAAAACACTAAGAAGGTTATTCAATACCTTGCTCATGTTGCTTCCTCCCATAAAGGAAGAAAGGACCATAATATTCCTGTAAGTTGGGATATTTTCTCATTTCTTTATTGCTCTTTTTGAAAGCTACATCTTTGCATTAAAAACCCCCACCTTTTTTAATTAAAGATAAGCTATAATGTAATCCATGTAATTTTGTCTCAACCAACCGTTATTTTCTCTATAGTAGTGGCTGAAATGAGCAGTTAAATCAAAACTTCCAGTTAGTGTTATCTGTTTAACTTGTTGTGTAATTAAAGGCTTTAATTCTAATTAATTTAAAAGTGAAGGCAAACATTGTAACTTGAAACAGTATCAAAGCTTTCTGATGCAGTAAATCTCCATTTTCCAAAAATGTAATTAACTTGGGCAATTCTTAGTGAGTGTAGTTCCCATTAGATGCAGTTGTCAGCACGGTATCTGTGAGCAAGCTTTCCGCTCTTTCAAAGATTAACTTGGAGATGGGAAAAGTCATCAAGCTTAAAACCTGCTGTAGGCTTGCTATATTGAGAAATGGGCAGCTAATGAAAAGCGCAGATTTTAATACATTGCGGGCAAGAGCTTATACACTTTTATGTTGGAGAATCTCGAGGTTTTTGGTGACTTGTCCCTAACTCTGCTTTATGTAGAACTTTCTTCAGATTTACCGCCAGACTTCAGACTTTGCACTGAATTTTTAGCAATTCTTTGCTTTAAAAACTATGAATGGGTTTGGATGCCTATTGCTACGAGGGCTTGGATCTCTTTGCAGTGAAGTATTAATTCGGCTTGCTCCCAAGGCAGTGGCTCGCTATAGTCAGTACTAGTGTGTGCGCCTGTTTTCTCCGGTCGTACCGCAGTGTCTGCGGTGGTGGGAAGCTTTCAAACTAGGCCATCTGACTTTAGCAGCAGCAATTTCTGTCATTTCTAGCACATGGCACTTAACACTAAGATATTTTTCAATGTGTTAAGACTCGGACTCCTGGAAAAACAGGAGATGACTTTTGACCAATCTGTGAAGAAACAAAAATAAAAAAGGCAAGGGTTTGAAGTGGGAGAGAAGGAAAGATTTCTCTGCAGGTGGATTTGGAGAAATCTAGTAAAGTGTGTGGGGAAACTCGAATCTTTGCTCTAATCAAGAGCAGATAACGTGACCCTGTGTGGTGATCCTTATTCAAACTGTTGCTGGTTTATCACACAGAAAACATCAAAATGAGTCTTTGTTATTTCTCATGCAGTCTGAGTGTGCAGCAGGTTGTGTCCGCAGCAGTTACGCCTTAGAAGGGAGTTTCTTATGAGCAGGTGTCAGCAGTGTGAGGTGGATGTTCGTGGCATTGCCATGTGTTGGGAGAATCCGTGGCTCTGGGGAAGGCACATCCATCAGAACGTCATCCAGCAGAATTGGTTTTCTATGTGGGTTTTGATTTATGAATGTTCTTGGCTTTACCGCTGTGCAGCCTGGAACAAAACAAAGCCAGCGTTTTTTTGCCCCCTTTTTTTTTTTCAGTTTCTACAGGTGTAACATTGCTTAGAGCTTTCTGGGGGAGAAGGGAATTAGGCAGAGAAGCGAATTGTGCAGGTTTTGTACCAAGTACTTCTAAATATACTATTGAGAACTTGGAATACCTCCAGTTGAAAGAGACTTTGGGAAGCGCCTTGTCCAGCCTCCTTTCAAAGTGTGCCTTCCTTCCAACTCCGATTGCATTGCCCAAGACCTTGCAAAGCTGAGTTTTGAAAAGCTTGAGGGATGGAGCTTATGCAGCCTCTCTGCAAAGTTGTTCCAGTGCTTAACCGCTCCAAGCCCTGTTTATGACTGTTTAAAAAGTACTCCATGTTTGGTTGGCCTTTCTCATGCTGTTTCTATGAGCTCTTTGTGCCGGTGCCTCTGCCCCTTTTTGAGCTTTGTCATGGTAGTAACTCCTGTGGCCACTCGCTGGGCTTGGAGACTGATGCAGGCTCAAACTGGTGTTCTTAAAAAAGTCCATCTGCCCTTAAACAAAACAAGTTTCCTCCATTATTTATTGTTTGGCTGTGTCACTGATATGAAAAGAAGGCACAGAAGAGAAAGGGGAAAGCTGGGGTGGAAAAGAGCAGTGAAGGGAAGGGTGAGTTGCCCTTTTTAGTGCAGCGTTGGCTAATTCCGTTTCAATCCCTGGTTCCATTGCAATTTAATTCTCTACTTAACCAGTGTAAGCAGTTGGGATGGTGGTGTTCATCTCAAAAGAGTTTGAAAGATGGTTGTTGTAGATCCTCTGCTTCATGAACCATCAATGACTGTTATGATGAAGACTGGAGAAGTTTTTATTCTTTGTGTAAAATATAGTTTAGGAACAGTAAAGAGGATAGGGTAGTGTCCTGAATAAAAGTTGCATACTTCGATTGTGCATTCATTCAACACAGTGCCATAGTAAGAACTGAATTAAGCGTATATTTATGAAAAATGCAGAATGTGTAACCAAAACAGTTTTGAAAATACAAATGAGTCTCCCTTGTTCTGTAACAATTCATTGTTATTTATATATTGCAAACCAGGAATGTCTAACCTAAACGCCTAACACTCAGAAGTTAGGAAGTGTCAGAATTGGGTTTGTATATACAGCCCTAATTTATTCTTGTTTTTAGAAAACTGCAGAGGGCTGGTGGTGATCCACGGTACCCACGTGTACAACCTTTGCATTATTCTGTGCACAGAGAAGATAAATAAGCTGCTAGTCATGGATTTATTTTTATCCATCCTGTTCCAAATAATTATCAGTGACATGCATATCACTGAGACGGCTCTGAGTGCTGCATGGATTTTTTTATGAAGCAATTTGTACGCTGATGAATGAATAATTATCTTCCCAACACTCTTCTAAAGTCCAGGGTTAAGTTTGTCTGTTCTGCCTCACAGAGTGCTGTAAAAATGTTACAAACACACATAGTCCCCAGTTTGACACCTCGGGCCAGGGTAGTGCTGATGTTCTGCCCTGTCCCAGATGCTCACCAAGTACGTTCTCCAGCAGCGCTGGTTGTGAAACACTCGGCTCATGTGAGGAGCATCACGTAGGAGCTCTTCCCATCCCTTGGACAGCCTCATCGTGTTTGGCACTCAGCTGCTTGTCCATGAGACTTCTCTTTCTCTTTCAACTAGTGACTGTGCGGACAGAGGAGTCCTGCGTAGCCCTTGGTGTGTCGTCCTCAGACTGGGGTCCTGTGGGAAATGGAGTCAATAACACATCGTAACCACAAAGGGTGGGATCAGAGCGATGAACAACCTTAATGCTAGCATTTCCTCACTTTTGAGTGTTCGAATCTGTGGCCACACTGTCTCATTTCCTGTTTAATCCCGAAGAATGTCGAAGGTATTGTCTTGGGCACTGCGGTAGGAAGCATGGGTAGGTGGTGATGGTAAAAATGTAGACGAGAAGCTTTAGGAATTGTAGGACTTGGCAGAGCTAGGTGAGACTAAGGGAGTTCCTTAAATTAGGACTGGAGACTGGGCTTTCTAGAGCCAAGTAATGGAGGGGAGGCAGAAGGGCTGGGCAGTGAGCTATAACACAGGCTCCTCTAACGACCGATGGTGGGATGGCAGCCAGCCTGAGCCCTTGTCTGTAGCACACGGACAGTCCTAGTGGGTGTGTACCGAGGGAGAGATGGAAGGTATCTGGTGTAAGTAACTGAAAGCTTTAGCTTCACATCCAGCAAATTTGAGCTTGAAAGAATTTGGGGGGAGTGGGGTGGTAGTGTTAAGAATTTTGACAGTACATCTGAGTTTTTTTGCCTCCACCGATGGTTTGTTCAGTTGTTAACCTGTGCCATGCATGGACTGGCTTTATACAGGCAGCCACTGGGCTTTAGCTTGGGCATCTCAGACCGAGGGTGACCCACGCTGGTATGTGTTGGTCTGGTCGTTATCCCATGTTCCCAGGGCACACACAGGAGCGTCTCTCACCTTTCCTTGGTTATTCTTCTATAGGCTCAGGAGGGGTGGAGAAAAGGCTGTTTAGAGTAAAAGGAGAGGAAGAGAATGAAGGTGGGTAACTGGTGAGTGTGGGGAGGAGGCTGATGTGTTAGAGAGGGTTTTGGACAGGCTAGGCAAGGAGGGTAGGGAGGAAAAGGAGACTTGTAAACTGCTGGGAAAGACACAAGAATGAAATCATGTTGTTAATGCACATGCTAGAGCTGCTTTAATATGGGCTTAATTCTGCCTCTTGGGTTCTGCTGTAGTTTGCTAACTTTGTGGTTTTGGATAGGGAGGGAAGTCAGTACAAAATAGAGAAATAATTTATTTTTTAAAAAATGGCATACGTGGCTTTCTGAAAGAAGGACAAGTCCTGTTTGTCACTTACTGCCCAGAGACTGCCATGAACTTAAATGTTCTACAGGCTGCACGAGGTTGGGGGATACTCTCAGCTGTACTTGCAGACTATGGACAGACCTGGCCCCTATTCATGGTCAAATACATGAAACCAGCAATGTTTTCGGTCATGGTAGTACATGAAGTAGTTCAGTTCTGTAAATAACTGCATCCATCCACCACTGCTGCCTCCATGGCATCCTGGTACCATGTACCTCTGGCTCAGATGGATGGAATTAGACTTTTGTTCGCTTACCCACTCCCCAAAACCTTCCCACCCCAAAGCCCCGCTGTCACTAAAATCCAGCTTTCACGATGGTGCCATTTTAAGCTTCAGAAATAATTACTGGTGCTTTCAGTGACTGTGTTTGCCTTTGTAGCTGCAGTACTAAATTGTTTAATTAGTTTCATTAATTTCAAAAGAAACATAATTGGTTTTGAAGTACAGGATCTCGGGTAGGCTCCCCTTAGTGAGGGTTTCCCAGATGAGCTTTAACTGTCCTAATTTAAACACAGAAAAGTTAAATATGTGTCTGATTTACTCAGCTCTGTTTCTAGCGAGGGCAGAAATGGACACCCCGGGAGAGCAGTTCGTCTCGTCTGAAGATAAGCGAACAAAATGCCTCCTCATTTCCTAGGTGTACCTACCCTTCTCCAGGGATTTCAGAAGGAGTGGTAGTTTCATACTGAAACATCTCACCTTTTTTGAGATGCCTGAGTTGTTTTCTGAGCAGGTATGATGCAGCTTTGCAAAGTTCACATCACCTAACTGTATAAGCCAAACCTTTGCCAGCTGCTTTACAGACCTCTGGCAAAATCTGTTATTCAGCACAGAAAGAGTGCTAGTTGTTTAAAATAATAGACATAAACGGGGAAGTGTGCATCTGGCTTGGTATGAACATTTCTGGGATGCGTGTTTCACCACAGTATTTTCCCCTTAGGCTCCCTGATGTGAAACTCAAGATTATTAAACTTGCAGACTGAGCCAGGGAAATAATAACGGAATTGAAAATTGCTGCAGAAACTGCACATTTGAATTTTGAGGGTTTTTTATTTTACTTTATCACATTTATGTTCTGTTTACCCTTTTTCCTGGCAAAATTTGAAGGTCTTTCAGTTTCTTAAGATTTGCTGCTTCTCATATGGATGGTCATTCTTGAAAGAAAGGAGCAAATCTTTTGTCTGGGTTGTAGGTTTGCATTTCTTAAATACTTGAAGCACAGTGTAAAAACAAAACCCCACGCTCCTTAAGTATTCCTTTTGTCTTGGTTCTTTCATAACCTTTTTGATTTTTGAAGAACAATGATCATCTCATCCATCCAAAACCACCTTGCCGTGTCTAAGGCTGTAGGGGAAGTTACTTGGTGTTGCAGGTTTATTTTCTGTTGTTGTTTGGCAAAACTGTGGAAAGCAGTGCACAAGTCATTTAACTATTGCCCCTTTTCCTTGCTCCTCAAGGTCCATCCGTCATCTTGTGTTTTATTTGGAATTAGTCCTTTGCATAAACACAGGTTTTAGTATTTTGCGCATGCAATGACAAGCGAATAACTTCTTTTCTAAAATTAATTTAAACAGTTTTTATGAAGTGAGTACGTAGTTAAACTAGACCTATGGACATGAATAATTTGGGATGTAACCTGCAGCTGGAATGCTTGCTTGCTAACATATGCATTTGTTTGTTTGCAATGAACAGCCCGAATCACCTAAACCCGTGAAACATCAGGCAAGTGTTTTTCTTTATGCTTTTAAAGTTATGTAGGCAAACTGATATATATGATTCTCTTTTCTGTCAATTTGCATTTATAACATGTGGGAAATCTTGTAGAGGCTACAGCTAATAGGAGGCTTTGTCAATATTGAACTGGTTTTGAGAGAGTGGACTAGTGAACACCTCCCAAGTTCCCCAGCCTTGCAAAGCGCTTCCCACCACTCTACCGTGGTGCTGCTCTGCCCTGAAGCAAAGGTTCGCCCTCTCTCCCGCTGACCTTCTCCGATACGCCGTGTGTATTTGGTTAATGTGCCGCTGAGAGACTGCGGAACACTGCTTTAACATTAAGCAAAGTACTAAATAAAAGAGAGATTAATGGAAGCTATGAAATGATTTTGATTAATGGACTGTTTTGTCTGAATATTTTTATAGCTTCTCAGGTAAGCTGATAAAGACTTTGATCTCTAGCGTAAAAGGCTTGGCATAACCAATCATCTCCTGAAATAATTTCCCCTGACTTTCTAGGATGAGTGGTGTGAGCGATGCGGTGTCTGTTCAGGGTTGCTGCCTGAATTAACACTTCCCTGTTTGAGCTTCAGCTGCTCTGATTCCTCAGGTTGGCTGGAGCCGCCGTGCAGATAATGCTGCCTGGTTTTGGCTCGCCTAATCCCTCTCTTCCCGTGGGCAGCAGTAGCCAGTTCTGTTCTAGACCACCCTCTTGTAGGAGAGTAGGAGTTGCGTTACTCTCAGTGCTATGGAGCACTTGGGAAGGAGCACAGAGAGGAGGGCTAGGTGGAAATTGGGGGTAAGACTGTGGAAAGAGAGAAGCCATTGCTGCCACGTGTTATGCAACATAAATGCTCCACTCTCTACCCTGAGATATGGTAAGTGATGCCTTTTTGTCGTGGGCACGAGCTTTTAAATAAAGCACAAGCTTTCCAACAGCTCCGTATGGTGTAACCAAGGCTGGTAACTGAAGAAGCTATCATGAGTTAGTTTAGCTGGTTGTATTCTTCCCCGAACATTTTTCTGAAAGCTGACTGTAGTGCAAGTTAAACTGTAATGGAAAAGAAAATAATAAAGGAAACTTTAAGTTGGGTCCGGTATACTGGAAGCAAAAAAAATCCCAAGGACAGCTATGATGCCTTTGCTAGTGTATGGTAACTCGTTAAACCTCTGTAACCCAATCATGTGTCTGAGCCCACGGTCTCATTTTCAGAAGTTAACAGACATTGTTAGCATTTAACCCAATCCTTCCTCCTTGCAAACCCCAGCCAATTCTGAGGGTTTTTACTAAAAAATTTCTCTGTTCTAAAAATAGAATGATGTTTAGTTTAACCCTCCTTTTGCTTAGGTTTAGCATGTCAGAGTTGAAACAAACCATTTGTTGGCAAACATTTTAAATGTATCAGTGGAAACGTGCTAATCCAGAAGTGTTGATACTGCATAAACCATAATCATTAACATTTCTGTTTCGATGTCATTTTGAACTACAGAGTGGATCCCTGTTGTATGTGAGTAGCATGTAGTTTTCCCTGCCTCACCCAGGCTTCACGACGAACCCCATCACTGGGATGCTGGTTTTTCTGAAACTGAGACAATTACCTGTCCTTATCTTAACGTTTCCCTGCATGAAATATTGCATGACTTCACTTTTTCCACAATACTGCCATTCTGCTTTTTCCAAGTTCTGGTTCGATGGCTACTCTTTCCAAAACACTGACTGCTCCTAAAAGAGAGAGTTGGGTTTTGGCTGTAAAGCAGTCCATCTGATAATGAAAACTACTAAATCAGAAGCTGTTTAACACGGTGTGAGAGGTTTGCTGTTTCTTAGTGATGGCTACGAGGAGGCTACATACGAGTGCAAACCACAGAGGCTGCCAGGCTGTGAGCACCCTGTGCCTTCTCACAATTTCACTCCCAGCTGAATGGTTTCTTAAAAGTCTGAGACACAATGGTAAAATTTTCTTCATTCAGTTGGAGAATTTGAGTAAGCTTATTTTACGGCGCATTGCAGAAGTTCCTCTGCACCAAATGACACTAAAGTTGGGGTACACAGAAGCCCTTTAAAGCATGGCCGGAGCGTGCCTGCAGCGAGATGCTTTCTAGTGGCCCAGCGGTGTTCTCTGGAGTCCAATTTGAAGTCGGTGTGCTTTTCTTTTCCAGAATAGCTAGAATTTGAAATATAAGCTGTGACATGCTTGCTGCGTTTAATATACGTAATGTGGTTTATTTCAAGCTGTGTACAGCATGGTAAGCAAGCTTCTCGTTTTTATCCTTGGTGTCTCAGCAGGAGCTGACAGCGCGGTGGGGAGAGGGGAACGGGAGGAATGGTGTGAGCAAATGCTTTCCCACTCTGATGCATTTACTTAGAAAACTTTTAGAATTTAAATTACAGATGCGCATATAGTGGTTTTAACAGGGTTCAAGTTTTTCTCCAAATGCAGATTAATTTTTTTATTTTTTTTCCCAATTTAAAAGTGCTCCTAAGAACTGTAACATTGGCAAACCTGACACACAGTGAATAGGCACCGAGGCCTGAGTAGCGCTGGGTGCTCTGGGCTGAGACTCACACATTTGTTTCTTCTTTAGTTACTTCAGAATTATGTAGTCCCAAAGGGAATATATTTGGAAGTAAACAAGTTAGGAGCAGATAACTTGATGTCACATCATGAGAACGAGCAACCATTAGTTTCCAGAAGGACTTGAAATATATTTCAATATATAAATAAAAGGCTCTTTTAGGTGTTAACTAGTGAACTCTAAAAATTCCTGTATAAGAACTAACCTCATGTGGAAGCCTTCAGAGACTTAGGTTTCCCATTCTTTGGTGCTCCGTCTGGAGCCTTTATTCATCTATGCTATAAATAATTGGAAAAAGCAGGTTTATGAACACAAATGTCAGTTTTTGAGACTACATTCCAGACAGCTTCACTTTTTTTTTTTTAAGCCATCCTTCAGAGCAGGAAGACAATATCATAGCTTCCTCTGCACATACATGCCTCCTGGGCTCATGGAAGCAGCACAGACTTCTTTTGTTACCAGACCTCCTCATGGACAGCAGTTCTAAAAGCTGTTGTGCAATTTCCTTAAGATAAGTACTTTGATTTCTACATCCATTGGCTTGAATTTAAAGAAACATTTAAGAAAAAATGCGTTAAACATACTGAGCAATGTTGGCTGAATTGAGCAATTTGAAAACGATCTCGGTTCCCATGACGCCACTCCGGCGTGCTTCTCGGGTGCAGGCAGGTCAGAGATGTTGTAACGATATGAGTGTACCTGGTTGGAAATTAATATTTCACTGATTTGAGAGTAAGTTTGGAAACAGGTATTCTGAAGTAGCTGTATTGTCCAATCACTAAACAGGAAGTTTAAGCTTCCACTAAAATCTTAAGAGTTAAATTTGTTTTTTCTCTTAAGCACTCAAAGTCTGTGCCTAATTTCATTAGCCCTCAATGTGAATTTTCTTTTCCATGTTCGATGATTTGCAACATCCGTTAAGTCCTGTTCGGTCACTGCTCTGTGTGTATATGTGTGTGTGTTTTTAAAACAAAAAAACCAAAACAACCAAAAAAAACCAAACCGAAAAACCAAAACACATTCTTCACTGGATGGAGGAGACTATCGGCGGATTTAGAAGTGAGGGGGGGAAAATAACCCCCTTCTGAAGGTGGTACCACTGCCACAACCTGGGTAAAATGACTGTCAGGAAGAAGCAGAATATAGGAACCCCTCACTGCACGTGCACTGTGCTTATGTCTGTTTATTTTTCTGTTTGTGTGGTTTTTAGGGGGAACTGGAGCGTCAGCTTCTTCAGGCGAATCCCATTCTGGAATCCTTTGGGAATGCAAAGACAGTGAAAAATGACAACTCCTCCCGCTTTGTGAGTTACTCCTGTTCTCTTTAAAGTCTGTAAATCTGGATTACTGCTTACAGAGAAATTCCTTTTTTAGGTATTTAGCTAATTAGTATCAGAAGCTTTCTTTGTTGTCTTTCCTCCATGAATTCAGGTTCTCTTAGTGCTGGAGTTACTGAACTTGTATCCTTGCTGGCTCTTGGTGAAACTTACTTTAATTTTATCCAATTTCTAACTTCAGCCATCCTTGAATTTACAGTAATGTCCACAGTATAACAAACATAACTGCTGTAGAGCTCGACTGTGGCTTGTGTGCACAGATTACCGTTGAATTACTCTAAAGGATGAAGGAGCATGGCATCAACGTGGAATTTGGCTAAATATGTGGCCACCTTGTCAATAGCTATGACTTTATCAATTGGTTGGTTTATCAGTTGGTTTTTTAATCAGTTTGTAAAAAAGCACAAAACTTGCATGTAAAACCCTCTCTAAATTCCCATGCCCTTCTGTCTGACTTCTTTACTGAAGGAGAGCCCAAAAGACAGTATGACTTCTTCAAGGAGTTGGACATTCTTGTAGCTGGTTGATGTTTTTGTTGGGTCCGTGCCTTCTGTTTCATATACTGTTTCAGTGGCAGATAACCACTTCTGATGTGTTCCATTGTTTTAAAAATAGTGGTGGAACTCGGGGTGAATAGCTATTTACCACTTCTTGAGGCTTCCTTTGAAGGAAAAAAAAAAAGTCTCCTATTTCAGGGAAAAGATGTTTTTAGTACAACTTTAAAACTGTATAGGAGGTATTAAATCTTTTTTCTTGTGAGCACGAAATTAAAATTTACAGAACAAATGAAAGATTTCTTGGCTGCCTTGGTGTTTCAACAGTTGCTTGAATTTATAACGTATGAACTCGGCGCCAGTGATAAGGACTCTGGAAAACTGTATGACTAAATCCCTTAGCCTTTTTAATCAAGAAGGGAGGTCAGAGTACTGTAGAAATACAACTTTGATAATTTTATAGCCACATTATTTACAATATTGCTTGATGCTTATATATGTTGGGTGTAGGATTTATATTATCAACAGGTTTCACTGTGCAGTAATTCTACTTTGTTACACGTCTTGAATCCATCAAAGATTGTACTAATTTAATGAAGATACTTTTTTCCTAAAAGATGTTAGCATCTGGTTTGTATTATATTGAAGTCTCTGCATTGCCATCATGAACATAATCACTCAGATGGCTCCAGCTCTATTTTTATAAAGGAGCAAGTCTAATGAACTCCAGATGGTGTCATCTCATGCAGAAAAAAATAATCTTTAGTAACTATTTTAAAACCTGACTTAAAAAATATATATCCTCCCACAAAGTGAGAGGTGCTGTTGTTCAGTCCGTACAGGCTTGACAGTCTTCACCATGCTGCATGAAGATGCCAGTGTGTTCCCTACGTGTCGATAATATTAGATAGAATCACAGAATGGTTTGGGTTGGAAGGAACCTTAAAGCCCATCCAGTGCCACCCGCTGCCATGGGCAGGGACACCTCCCACTAGCCCAGGTTGCCCAAAGCCTCATCCAGCCTGGCCTTGAACATCTCCAGGGATGGGGCATCTACATTGCTGGGTTGTGTTCAGCTTCTCATTCACCATCACTCCCAAGTCCTTCTCCTCAGGGCTGCTCTCAATCCATTCCCCTCCCAGCCTGTATTTGTGCTTGGGATTGCCCCAACCCAGGTGCAGGACCTTGCACTTGCCCTTGTTGAACTCCCTGAGGTTTGCACGGTCCCACCTCTCCAGCCTGTCCAGGTCCCTCTGGATGGATCCCTTCCCTCCAGCGTGTCACCACACCACACAGCTTGGTGTCATCGGCAAACTTGCTGAGGGTGCACTCCATCCCACTGTCCATGTCTCCGACAAAGATGTCAAACAGCCCTGGTCCCGATACAGATCCCTGCGGAACACCCCTCGTCACCGGTCTCCATTTGGACACTGAGCCACTGACCACAACTCCCTGAGTGCACCCATCCAGCCAGCTCCTTATCCAGCGAGTGGTCCTTCCATCAAATCCATGTCTCTCCAATTAGATACAAGGATTTCGTGCGGGACAGTGCCAAAGCCTTTGCACAAGTCCAGGTAGATGATGTCAGTTGCTCTTCCCTTATCCACCAGCACTGAGTCCCCGTCATAGAAGGCCACCAAGTTTGTCAGGCACGATTGGCCCTTGGTGAAGCCATGCTGGCTGTCACCAACCAATCACCCCCTTGTCTCCCAAGTGCCTGAAATAAGGCTAGTGTCAAATCAATGTGTGTTTGGGTTTTTTTTTTTCTCCTTCTACCAAAGGCAGTGTTTTCTTATGTTTCAGGAAATAAAGTTTCTGGTTGACAGTGGATGGGAGACTGGCCTTGCTCAGTTCACGTTGCGGAACTGAATGCTTCCTTCTGATGTGGTTTTTACAAAGCTGTGTCCTTAGCTCTAGAATGAGAGTGTACACGGGATTCAGTTGTTAGATGACCACCACTAAGTGATCTCTCTAGTATAGACTTCAGTGATGCTGGCACTTTGAAGCGGGGAGCGTCTGATGTGGTTTTTACAAAGCTGTGTCCTTAGCTCTAGATTGAGAGTGTACACGGGATTCAGTTGTTAGATGACCACCACTACAGTCGCTAACTGATAAAGATTTCGTAGTGGGATTTGCCAGTACTAGCTAAAAGGAGGTCTTGCTTTTAAGAGAATTAACTAGATAAGTGATCTCTCTAGTATAGACTTCAGTGATGCCTGCACTTTGAAGCAGGGAGCATGTGGGTCCCCTCTTGTGATGTCTCAGCTTGTCTAATGACGCATTTCCTCTCCGTTGTTTTTATTCATGAAACTAGTAACTTGACAGCAGAAACTAGGTAACTTTTAACGGTGAAACAGAGTAAAATGCTTCTGAATTATATCAGAAAAAGCCACTGAGTAGACCTTATGTAATGCTCCATGTTTGTTTCACATGTAACATGGCCAATTCAAGCCACGTCCTAAGAAGGATCTGCGGTACCTGTTCTGGGTAGGAAGTTGTCACCTGCTGTTCTTGACACGCTGGCGCCGACACATGCGTTACATATCTAGTCTGTTGGCTGAGATTCAGTAAAATGTCAGTTCATTCTTCGTGACAGTTGTAAATATAGCTTTCTGGAACCGTTATGGAGCAAAAAGTATAAATGTTTCAGTTACAAGCTGAGCTTAGAGTGTTCTGTTTCTTCATACTCAGAAATCCGAGTTTAGGTGCTGGTCCCTGACAGGGCGGCCTGAGAACAAGCCTTGTGCCTTGGCACGGTCCTTTCAGTGCCATGGGCTTTCCAACCAAACTGCAGAGTGAGCAGTAGGGAGGAACCAGTGAAGCTAATGGAAAGTATTCCACTGGTTTTCTTAAAACTTGGAGAAAGCACTTGGAGTTGAAGGTGTATGACCGTGGTCACGGGGCAGTTGCTTTGCTCTGAGTCAAGGTAAGGCTGGCAGGTAGGTTAGCCCTTTGTCTGAATTCACCGGTGCGGTTGGGAAGAGAAACCTAGTTGGTCTTGTGCACACAAATCTTTGAATGGGCTTCATTGGGGAAGTCGAGGAGAAGGATAGAGTGTTCTGGTAAGAAGCTTCAATATCTGAAACGATGGCAGCAGCTTGTGCCGGTGTAAGTCTGCAACATGGCAGTACATCCCAGAAACACTTACTAGATCGAGCCATTGCCGGAATATATATAATCTACAAGCTTGTAGAGTAGAATAGTTCATATGAAAATCAATAGTACAGTCCCTGAGCTGAATGAATCTGCTCAACAGGAATTCACTTTAACACACCCATGGCACTAATCAGAGTTGAGATAAGTGAGGATTTGGATACTGGTTGTAAGAGCGCTTTCAGAAAGCTTCTACAAATCATATTGGTAGGTGGCTTTGTGCAGGTACCAAAGATTTAGACAGCAGTTAGCAAACTGCTGCGGTGGTCCCTGGTCTCCAAAGCTGTTTGTATGGGGATAGAGGGGTGTAGAAATTGGATGCAGTGAAAACAGAGAGCCCAGTGTAGTCACTGGGTATTCCCGCTGGTTTCTTCACATGTTTGCAGCCAGGGGAATGACTAACAGTTTCATGAGCACAAACCTGAAATACAGTAACGGTGCTGTTGAAAGTGGTCCAACTCCAAGCTGGAGCCCATTGTCTTGTTGGGAATGTTTGTGGCCAAGTGACAAATCAGACTGGGGAACTGATGTGGTTTAAAACTGGTACGAGAGGTTTGAACTCTGATAGTGGGTTACTGGATGCTCTGATATCTGAACTCCGATGCATTCACTTGCAACCTCTTTCTTTCCAAGAGCTGCTCTGTGTGTGGGATGTGCACTCTTTATTTGGTCCTTTGTGGAGCAAAGGAGATGTACGTGGAAGGAACGGGTCTCTCTCTTAGTTCCTCCTTTAACAACTGCTAGAGAAGAGAGGGCACACAGAGAGCAGCCATCCTGGGTTTGGAAACAGAAGCGTGATGGTCCAGGCTGGGCAGCACACTGAGCTTCGGGATTGCTGCAGATAAAGCGAACTCACTGGTGCTGTAGAAACGCGTGTGCTTAAAATCTCAGCGTTGCTACAAATCTTAGACAGCATGTTATGCCAATGTGAGAAGTAGAGCTTTGCTTTAGGGAAACTTTCTTGTACGTCTGGATTACAAACTGATCTAGAATACTGGTTCTTTAATCTTTAGAAAGTGCTTGTGTGCAGTGTAACATATTCCGTTAGAGTGATGGCCGAGTACATGGAAAGGAAAGGATTTAATTTAAACTTGTGTGAAATGCTTGTTATACAAATGTAAGTAGGTTTATGTTTTTATGTCGATAGCATTGTTGTCTTAATTTTAAAAGATGAGTAATTACAAAAAAATCTCTTCTCTTTACAGGGCAAATTCATTAGGATTAACTTTGATGTTACTGGTTATATTGTTGGGGCCAACATTGAGACATGTATCCTGCATAATACCACATCATTGTAAAATGCAAGTTTCCCGATTGTTTTGCTTTTAACCCTAGAATTCATTGGAATGCAGTGAAAGGTTACCACATTTCGACATTCCTTCAGCAACATCCATCTCATCCTTTGTTTCAAAATAGCCGATCAAATATCACAAAGTCAGCGTGCTTCCTCGTGCTCCGAAATCGGATACCCCAAAATTTAGCACTCTGGAATCTGCTGGATTTTCAGACCAGCCTCAAAAACAGAGTATGTTAAATAGAGAAACCGTTTAAAGTGTGCTTACTCTATGAACATTTCTTTCTAGAAAACAAATGCCTTCCTGATCAGAAGCTGAGCTACTGTGTTGTGCCAAAAGCTTGGTTTTGCTCTTGTCAGCACTGCAAAAGCAGCTCTCTGCCTCGAAGGAGTTGATGCTCGTTGTAAAGTGATAGAGCTGGCAGTGCTGGGACACCTTCTGTGTGCTTAGGTCTTCTCGATACCAGTGTAGGTTCAATAACTCAAGACCTACTAGCAATTAATGCTGAAGCCCAGTTCAGTTTTAGCTTTGAGGTTCGTTTTTATTTATGGTTGCGTAAGAACAAGTAAAAATACTTGCACTGAAAGCTTCTCTCTAAAGTTGTTTTCTTTATACTAAAAAGAATGTGTGTGACTTTTTGGTTTGTTTAGCCTGTTTTCTGGGGGAATAGCAATAGGGTGGTCATAAAATGATGAAATCTGAAGTCTTGGTAAACAATACAATAAACAATGCTGCAGTTAAGCTTTCATTCTGTTGCTGGGAGTTAAACTGATTAAGTTCAGTGAATGTTGGGAACTTTCACAAAATACAATTTCCCAATAAGGCTGGGAAAGATCTATAGCTATGCAAAATATGCTTTCATGATAAATGATTTTTTTCATTCAGCACAGGAATGAAGGCAGGTTTTGCTTTTATGAAAGTTCAGATGAAGTGTTTTTGCCTAGAGCTTTGTGAAAACAGGAGGACTTAACTCTTACTGAATTTTTTCTTCATCACGAGAACTCGCCCTTGCTTGTAACCTGTGTCACTTCAGATCACTGTCCCACATTTGTTTTACAATGTGGAATATCAAGAAATAAAAACTTAAATAGCATTAAAGCGTATGGCAGCTTACGGAGACACTGTCTGCTGCACAGATTGAATTTGGAAACTGTTTAAAGGCAATGGAGATTGTATGTAAAAATGCAGTGCTTGAGAGAAATGACAAATGCACGTCAGATAAAGTACTTTCGAGTTCAGCAGCTGCTGAGTTTTTGTACTGAGAGTCAGCTATGACCTGAGAAGGGATTGAGGAAGAATGGCCAGCTCCTCCTCTCACTTGGGCTTCAGCTGACCCATTCCAGACTATTGTCAGCTGCTTGCAGCAGGGAAAGGCGGTCAACATCCAAGAAATGAGTTTGCTGGAATTAAATGTAGGCTTCTACCAGTCTGAATTTGAAATCTCTCATTTAAAGTTACTGAAAGTTCATGTTTGACATAGTCCTGTCATTACTTATTAAGGTTTTACTTGGTCTTGAAGTACTTAAGTACCTGCTTTGAAAGTTTTGTTTGCATTGGATGTTTTTAACTGAAATTGTAGAAGATCCTTGACTAGTTATAATCAGACTTGTTGGAGAAGTCTCGTGCTGTTCGTCAGGCTAAAGATGAGCGGACGTTTCATATCTTCTATCAACTACTTGCTGGGGCAGGAGAACACCTGAAGTGTAAGTGGAGAATCTCATTTTGTAAACCTGTCGCTTCTGCGTGCCAGGTCTGTTATTTCTGTGTTAGTACAGTCGAGTTTCAAGTATCCTTTGGTCTTGAGACAGGGAGTTTGAAAAGAAGGATGAAAAGCCAGGTGGCTTTGTTTTGAAATAGCTTCTGGTTTTTATCAAGCATGCTGTCAAACAACCGTTGCATTCAAGCAAACGACTCCTACGTGACAAAGTCCAGTTTGGGCAGCCTCTGGCTGGGAGGCGCTGGATCGAAACTGCTGTGCTCCCGGCTGATTAACGACAAAGCCGGCTGGCACTGACAGCCCTATCTGTTCTGGACCGTGCCTTCAAACTGGGTAGAAAAGCAGCTGTTTTACCAAAAACATCATGAAACCCTGCAGCTTTCCTCAGCCTGCAGCACTGTGTTGGTTATCTTCTACTCTTTTTCCCTGGGAATTTCTGTTAGATTGTGATAAGTGAAGCCGCATGAAGGTCCAGACTTCAGAGAACTGATCCACTCTTTC